CATGGGTTGAAAGCCTGTTATGCTGAAAGAAAGTGATGGGCAGGCATCTGGTGCTCGGGCTTGTTTCTGGTTCGTGTTCGGGTGGTGGTTCTGAAAAGTTGTCAGGCCTGTTGCATGCAACGCTTATGCTGCCTCTTGCCAGAGTGCCTGTTGTCAGTCCGCTTCATTAGTTTTTAGAGTGCGTGAATGATTCGCCTCCAAGTGGGTCAGGCGAACAGGAACAGGTGACGTCTTTGCCTCTACTGCCAGACTGTGCCGTTCCGTTCCGTTCCGTTCCACAAAGTTGACACGGCCAAAGTGTGGCAAGTTGTGGCGGGGGAGATTCAGATATATTCGCATGTAGTCTGCGGCTGCTCCAGTCCCTGCCCTGCTCTGGCCTCTTCGCGTCCGAACCGGGCCATGCCAAACCGCAAATGCGAAGGCCGATTGTGGGAAAACGATTGCAACACTCACCCACAGAGTATAGAGCTGCAACACAGAGTGCCTCAGATGCAAATTGGAGCGCGAGCATCAAAGTCAAATGCAAATGATGCAACTCAAGCACAGCGGTGGCTGACAGAATGACAAAAATCGTAAAAAACAAATCGGTAATTGCCGCCATAAAAGTTCAACGGTCAAAGAAATGCTGTCTGCTCCTTATAGTAGGGAAAAACTATGGAGAGATATGCCCCAACAAGTTGCAGACACTTATGCCCAAGTCGGCTGAACTTGCCATTGATTATGTGCGATCGACAACGACATCGACAGCTTCCATAATTGTCGAGGTGTGCCCAAAATTGTGAGGTCGTTCAGCGTTCGTTGCAGCTGTTTTATGGCCGAGTAGGAAACTCAATTTACACAACAGTTTCGCTAACTGTTTCTGCTTATTAAACGTTAGATCGCGAGCCATATTTGGCCCCGGCCATCGGGTTATGAAAGTTATTAAATCCCGCGACAAGCCTTTGAAAAATGTTGCTGCAACAGGCATTTCCTGATCAATTGATCAATTCTATTCTTTGCATTGTTTCTAGGCGCAGAACACGAACTAAGGAAAACTATTGCCAAAATCTCCATCTCATAAATAAACATTAAATAATAAAAAACTGAAAGCACACGCGGCGCCCCGATCCCACGGCAGATGTCGTCCGATGACGTCAATGGCCTGCTATATGGCGTCAGTCGTGTTGGGCCCTGCAATTGACCACAACTGGCAACTGCTTGACAGATTTGGCAATTAGCATGTCCGTCAGGCATGCCAAGACTATGGCTAAGATCTGGCCAAGTGCAGGCCAAAGCCATTTCCATAGCCCATAATCGGACGTGACTAATTGACTTGCACATTGAACGATGCAAATCATTCCCTTGCTACTGCTACTGCTGATGAATCATAATTATATGCGCCACTCTCGGTGACATTTTCGATATGCACTTTGCGCCATAAATAGACATTTGTAATACATACAAATACAAGCACGAATGAATTCCCAGCGATCGAGTATATAGCATTTCGCTGGCCTGACATTCATGACGAAAATAAAAGAAGAAAAACAAAAACACGGAAAAATCTTGCTCTTGTTAGCACGAAAAGCTGTCCGTGCGTGAGGAGAAAACATGCTAGAAAATCCTCAACGCCAAATGATAGAAAAACATCTGTGCAATTTGCATTTTCACTTTTTTTCGACTCTTTTCGACTGGGATTTTGCCCCCTGCGCATGCAAATGAGCGTGCAAATATGTATCTGCAGTCAACTGCGACTGCCGGCTCGCCAGTCGCTTGGATTCGCCAGATACGAGAAGTGCTGGACGATTGCTGTAGTGTGAGGGAATCGACGGGTAGATACTGCAGAAGGAGAACTCTTTGTTAGTTTTAAAAGATCTAAAGATGATTCTAAATGGAATCATTGATCAGGGGGGGAAACCCTACCACGCGCCAAAGATATTTAAGAATTTAATAACAGTCTGCTATTTGGTTTATGCCCCATCTATTAAGTCCATCACTCCTTGTATTACCCTCTAGGTAAAAGCAAACTTGTTGCCGCAGCAGCAGTTGCAGTTGCAGTTGCAGCTGCCCGCGCATATTTCAAGATCAAGGGCAGCCCAGCAGCAGCAGCAGCACCACCACCACCACCATTCGCAGCAGTGGAAGTAAGAACTTGAAAGCTGCCACATGCAACATGACATAATGATAGTCATTGTCCGGCCATCTCTCAGTATGCGAACGTGTCTATAAATAGACACTGGAGCTGGTGCTGGTGTTGGAGCTGGACGAGTACAGGGTGCTCTGCCCCGACTAGCCGCCCACATTCCGCAGTTGGGCTAATCTTGTGATAAATATTTGCTAAGAAATTAGTTTTGTTCTTTTCTACGCTTCGAGTATTTTCCCCCAACTCGTTTGCTATTGCGCTTTTGAATGCTTATCAGGGGGACGACGTTTCTCTGACGAAAGTTTCTCCCGAGAACGAGACCTCGACTTACGATGATTCCAGGCAACTCTTGCCATCAGGGGTAGTCAGGGGCAACTCTGACAGTTGAAATCCACGATCCTGACGCACCATATAGGCTGGCAGCGTGTCGATGATGGCATTGGCCTTATCGTTGTACGACCCCAGCAATTCCCGATACTTGGAGTAGACGACGCGCTTTAGTTGCGGATTCTTCACCGACGCGGGTGTGGATGCAGGCGAAGGCGACGCGGCCGGCGATTGCAGCGTTGAGGTGGCCATTATTTATGTTAATATCTATTATTTATATTGTTTATTGTTTGTTGTTGTTTATTGTCAAATTTGTTGTGCAGTTGGGTAAACTGGCATAGCAATTGGGTATGGAACAAGCAAATGCCGACAAGATGTGAGAATAGATGAGTAGAGCTCGTAATTTGTTTGCTAATTTAAAGTCCAAATGAATGTAACGGAATTATGGAATTGTCCAGTGGAAATACTACTTTTAGGCACAAACAAAGAATGAATTTGTTTGCTCAATCGATTTGCATTTGCCAGACAAAGGCGCTGCCTGGCAGCCTGACAGACAGACAGACATTGTGGGACCTAAGCCGCCTCAGAGCCCAGTGACTCAGCAATCGAAAGGGGCATGGGGCAGGCAATCTAACCTTTTTCGGTGCTGTCCAATGATTATTATTCGGCTGATGACTCAGAACAGCCGAGAAGAATCAACGGATGGTTCGTGGTTGGGGAGAGGGAAATCAAAGAGGCGCGTTAACAATATAGAGCAGGCGAGGCAGCTGTTCCGCCTCAGAGATATACTCTTACAGATACGCTCACGCAGCTTTTGCGTTGATTATTTTTAGCCATGAGCTAAAGAGTTTGTTCAAATTAAACAGCAACTACAGGCAGTGCGATTATCTATCTGGCGACATTTGCTTGGCAGAGAGGGGACATCTTACAGTTGTTTTTGTTTTGTTTTGTCTTGCTTTGTTTTTTGGGGTACGAATTGTATCACTTGGGACCCGCACAGACACAAACTCGCGCACTTGTGGGGGACACGGACCCACATGAAAGTTTCAGGCACTCGCGCACCGCAGAGCAGAAGTGTCTGGAAGTTGGATGATCGTAGTGTTCGGCAGCAGTATCTAGCAGTATCTGAAAGCGCACTGGGCGACTGAACGCAGCAGAGTCTCGACGCGCATTGAAGTCGAACCTCGAGTTCGCTGGAGGTTGGCGACTGCGGCTGCGGCTGGGGGCATGAAGAAACTATATAAGGAGGTCTCGTCAACGGCAGAGTTATTCGTCGCTTTTTCTAATTTTCAGTGCTCATTTGCTTGTGGACTCGCAAGGTTGGTTGCGGACAACATTTTTGTTCAAGTGTTTCAACCGTATGTGCGCCAAAATATGATTTTTTGCAGTTTATGCGGCAAGGTCGCGAAGAATGTGAAGTTGGTTCGTGTACCGGTATGCTTAGAGAAGAGAAAATTGTGGGAGCAAAGTCAAAATCAGCACACTCCATTGTCGTTGCCCTCAAACTTACAGCGAAAGCCTTTTCACTCGCACTTTTCACTCTCACGTTTATCTAATTTTTGCCGACGAGACCTCCTTATATAGTTTCTTCATGGCTGGGGGCTTGAGTTGGTCAGCAACTCGTTGCAGATACATTTTTTGTTGTGCCGCAAAAGGAAAACCGAGCTCATGATAAACGTTCGGATGGCACGCGGTGGCTGTCTGTTGTCTGTTGTCTGCTGACTGTGGCTGTTTCTGTTTCTGTGTATCTGCCAGTGCCAGCGACCTGCAGAGCAGACCAATTTATACGTCTGTCACAGCCGTTCGATGCCGACGACAAATTTCAGGCTAAACGCCAAATAGTTTCTACGTTTTGGTCTATCTGTATCTGGGTATCTGCCGGCTGTATCTCTGCAGCTCTTATCGTGCAGCTAATTGTTTTTGCTTGGCTGTCATGTCGCCTGCTTATTGCTTTTGCTGGCTTTTCGTTATTAAACCAGCCCCAGTCCCAGTCTCAGTCCGTTCTGCGTTTATCTTGCACTTCTCTCCTGTTGTCACGTATCTCGCCCACACATTTCTGGGGATTTCTTAATCGAATTACAACTACGCTCCATGTACACCTCTTTGCTCTGATTAACACAGGCATCCGTGTCCCACTACCCTTGACAGACAAATATGATTATCAGCGGAACAACAGCTGACTGCCTGGGGATTTTCTTTCCCCCTGTTAAATAATAATTGCCAAGAAAGCGTTGAAGAATTTTGTGTAAATGCAGAATGACTTGTCGAAAATGCCACACAATTTGTGCGCACCTAATTGCTGCCGCCTGCCATGGGGCAGGCACAAAGAAGGGGAAAGTTGCCACCGACACAAATGACTCTATAGAAAATACAACTAAAAGTGTGACTGCGATTTCGATTGCTGGTCATGGATGACCAGAGATATTAAAACTGGAGAAATAACTAACAACTTTTCCAGGGACTGCGATCAGTACAGATCATTCCTTCTGTACTGTTTTTGAGATATTTATTGAAGTTTTTCACGATAACTCTGTCAAATTTAGAGCACGAGCATTTGAAATGTATCATATTTCATATAAAATCTCAAGCAAAATTTTATTTAACTTTAAAGTGATGGAAGAACCTGATGACGGGGATGGATGCACTTTTGAAATGTTGGTAAGTGGCGAAGAACACTTCCATCCATCATTCCACTACAAATAAATATGGTGCAGGCCCTCCTCGATGTGGAGCAGATCTTTACTACACCACTGAGATGTCCAGTGTCATACTGCGAGGAAGCGCTGACGCCAATTGAGATGCTGGCACATCTTCTGATGTCTCACAGACCCGGCGAGTCGATGCAGGAGGCAGTGGCCGACTGGCCGCAGCTGTTCCATGTTCAAATGAACGAACTGGAGGCGGGCGTGAGCCATGTGATTGGTGCACTGGCGTACCACGGCACACCGCAGGCGGGAGTCAGCACTCCGGTGACTCCAGAGCTGCAGGTAGTCCATCAGTTGCCGGTGATGCTCGTAATGTACATCACTCCGCCGATGGACAACGTGCAACAGGTCGTAATCTTCTACATGGTCAGTCCGCTGATCACCACGAATTTGAGTGTGGCCGTACAGATCTCTCTCCTGGATGGGGACCAGGATAAGCACGGACAGAAGTCCCAATGCCTGCTATCTTCGACTGCCAATCTCGGTGCTCACGGATGCGGGCAGCAGCTCTTCATTGACATGGATTTTATTGCCTACTCGGCCACCGGCATTCAGAGGCTCATCGATATGGATCCAGAGGGTCAGCTCCATGTCAAGGTCATTCTGACTGGGGAACCAAATTCATGGTGATTGCAAAGACACCAACGGTATACAGAAGACTAGTTTTTCTCAGCTGCGATGACTCATTCGGGATTGACAGACACATTAGAGCCACCGGCCAGGCACCGGCATGGCCCCAATTGACGCACACTTGAAATTTGTAATCTGAGTGCCTGTCAATAATGTTCAATTTTTTCTATACTATATAGACTATATATATATTATTCTTAGCCAACTGTCAAATGTGTGATCTCCGGTCTCTGGTCTCCACTTATTCATTCAGTAATTCATATTTTTTTGGCTGCCTCAAAAGTGGGTCACTAACAGAGAGCTATGCGGTCTGGTGCAGCCATCAATCACGAGGGCCATCTAATTAGTTAGCCACAGGCCCCCCATCATTGTGAGAAATAATATGAGAAAAATGGCTTAGAGAAAATATTCTCTTTACTCGTAATTAAGTGTTAAATGGTTATTTGTCTCTCACAACAATTTTAAGAGTCATTTCATTTGGCGCTTGTTTAGGTTTCGTGACCCAAATTAATTTTGTTGATTTGATTTGATTTGATTTTATGATGCATTTAAATGCAATCTCTCAAGCTTACACCCATCCGAGATGGTGTTGAAAATTTCCTGATTATGTATTTATGTATCTTTCTGAAAATACTTTGATGTTGTGAACAGATTCTAGCTGTCCGACAACTAACAGGTGGCGCTAAACAGGATTATCCAAACACACATATATGAAAATAAATGCACGAATGAGTCAAAGCAGAGCAGGTTTTCAAATTGTTATATTTAGCTTTATTATTTTCCAGTTAGATCAATATTTGATGTTTTTTTCATAGAATTTGATTCATCAACAGCACAAACACACAAAGTGCTTGAAAAACTTTAATGGCAACGCCATTTAGTCTAGCTGTTGTGCCCATAAATTAGCCCCAAACTAAACAAGAAATAAGGGAAACGCCAAAAGCAACTAAAAAGGAATATATGTATGCACGAGAAGTGGGTATAACTAATGCGTACGATCATCTTATTTATAAATAAACAACGAACCAAAGTTTAAATGCCATTAAAAGCGGAAGCAACAGAAAGACCCCCAAGGAAAAACGTAAAACAAAGCGAGGGAAAGCTAATAATATATAAATAAAAAGTGGATTTTCATATCCCACCCACACCCGCGGACACGGACATGTGTAAGATTATAATATTTTAGGCCTCTTATTGCTGGGACTGACCTTGAAAAACGTGTTATACGCCGAGGGGCGAAACTTTCCGAAGTGGAGGAAAAAATGTGTGCATATTCGGTGAGTATATGGGAGGGAGGGGGGTCGCAATCAGGGAGCCCATTCATCACTTTCTACGACTACCCGAGTCTGCAGCTCGTTTTTGCATTTGTCATTTGTGATTGCCGCTGCGTTGCGTTGATTGCATGACATGAGCCCATCAAGCAGTGAGCGGAGCGGGGAGGCTGGACTTGGTTTGGGTTGGGTTTGGGTCTGGGTCTGGGTCTGAGCCTGGGCTTGTAATTATTTATATTAATCTGGCCTGGGTCAACGCGACTCCAGGTGAAAGTGAAACCACGACAGCGCCCGTTGCACAATGCACTGCGGCAATATTTTTGCTTTTGCTGATTGGAGGATACGTAATTTTTATATACCCGCACATTTTTCCTGCCACAGCCACAAACACAGTCGCAGCCACATGTGGTCGTCGTTTATGGCCAGACCGACCAGCAGTGTCCCGCCAGCGCCTTTTTTCGATTTCGGGCTTTTCCCATTGACTTTGAATTGTGGTGTTGGCTGACAAATTGCCATGAAATTGATGTGCGGAATGGAAAAACTAAATCACAAAAATTCGATACGAGAGAGTTCCTTTTTTAAGGCTCAAGTGAAAGTACTTAACAAATTGACAAATAAAAAACAATCAACTCGCATAATTAATTATCTTTATGAATCACAGAATCAAGTATCTTGGGACTGCTCTAAATATAATTATATTCCCAGTGGCCTTTGAGTGTGGTGTGTATTTTGGGTGTGGTCTTTTCATGACAGTTTTATTTCTTCTTTCTTATCGATGGTAGGCATCTTCCTTTCAATTATTCTCCCGCTGTACATTCGAATTTCACGGTCAACTGCGATCAACTTGAACTGCGTGCAACAACAAGTCCATTGAATGCCATTAAAAATGCAAAAATGACTAAAACAAATAAATTCACACCTGATTTACGCAATTTACAAAAAGCAAAACAACCGACAAAGAAGTGTCAAAATAAGTGTCGTTGACAAAAATCAAAGTCATGTCTCACAATGTCTGGTAATGCATCAAAAGTCCGGTCGTTGAGACGCGAAAAACTTAAATAAATAAAAATATATGTGCACGAAATATTTATGTTGTCAATATTTGCTTCAAGTTCACACGTAAATTAATGGACAATATGTATGTGTGTGTTTTTTGTGGCATTTACACGATTTACAGATGTCAAGTACGAATTCTCATGGCGTATACTTAATAATTTAATGCTGTGATCATACTCGTAGTTAAACATTTTTAGTGACACAAATTATTAGTAGAAAACAACAATTATCTGTCATTTCCATTGATTAGTTTCTTCATTATTAAGCTTTTGCTCTCTTTTCCTTTTGCATCATTTTGACCCAATTTCCTCAATATATTATCGCCGATTCTTGTGGGTGCTGACAATTTATGCGCGACACATCAACGTCAGCAGAGCAGTGCAAAAAAAAAACTGCCCGAAGACAAATGTTGAAAAAATCAAACAAAAAATGAACTGCATTTTATGCCAAATTCTTGACTTTTTTGTGTGTTTGTTTGAGATCAGTTCTCGGGCATTTGTCTGAGTGAAGTGCGTGGCTAGAGGAAAACTTCCGGTGAGTGCCGTCAGTTGTCTAAATTCCCAACACGTGTGCCAAATGCTTTTAGATACGGCCAAGAGAGACAGCTGGCTGTAAAACAAAAAATTCTGCACCAAAATCTCGTTGAAAAATACGATATTTAATTAATTAATTCGCTTAAAGTGTGGGCTAGACAGGGATAGCGGGATGAAGGCAGAATTTGTCGCCTGCCAAAAAGCGCGTGTACCGCCATGGGGCAGAGTCGAGCGAGCTTCGAGGGAGGGCGAGAGCGTGGGCGAATCGTTGGCCTTCAAAATAAAAACGCATGTGAGAGAGAGAGAGAGAGAGAGCCTTAATTGTGAAAGACATCATAAAGATGTTCTGTACATATATACTATATGGTATATAGATATATTTTGAGATATATGTATCTGTTCCTACATATGTTTTATTTATTTTCTAATTCTTTGAAACAGCTCGCCCGGCATGGGGTTGTGTTTTTTATTAGTTTTCTGACCACACTTGAAAAACATTGGGAAAGATATAGTGCAGCTGCCACAAGTCGAAGATATGTAACAAAAAGTTTAAAAGGATTTCAAATCTAGATTTATATTGCAACTTACCCAGAACTCATGTTTGCTGACTGCTTTCTATTTCAAGTTCAACTTTAAATCACTTTTACGCACCGCCTCCACACAGCAAGCAACCAAAAGGAATATCTCGATTTCTTGTTATTTATTTTTTCTGCCGTAGGCGTTGGTTTATGCCAAATCGCACGCAAGTTTTACGAAAAGATTTAGCAAGGGAAACCTATGCACACAGAAACACTGAAAAAGTCATGGAAATTGAAATAAAATTATGAAAAATGAATTGAAATTGATTTTGCACAAAATATCACGCCTTCTTATATAACTTTCGGCACGAACACGAACACTACTAAATCACTGGGAAATAGTTTTTTCTACATATATACACGAATTGTTCATTTTTATCTATAAATTGTGTGAGGATTATCTTTAGGGCTCTCCCCTGATCGATACAAGTTACATTTTGGGGGTAGCGCAAAACCCTTTTCGTTCACAATTGTTCGATTCTGAATTTTGTAATTTTCTATTAATAAAACGCGGCACAACGCATTGCTCACTTTTGCTAGAGAAAATACTCGTATCTATATCTATATATATTCGTATATATAGACAGCCCAGCCAGATAGATAGACGATACAGATATATATCTATGTGTTAGTTTTAGATGAAAATTTTCTTTCTTTCGGATGGTTTTTCTCGTTTGCAACGCGTTCAAGTTAGCAGCCCAAGTCGCACTGAATTCGCACAAGAAATTTCCTCAGCCGAAAAGTCGAAAAGCCGAAAAATCCGAAACACATTTCACATTTCGAAACAAATTCTACTTCTTCTCTTCTATATAGTATTTTTTCGACCATCGGTCATGTCTGTGTCTATATACGAGTATACGGGTAGCCCGTGCCACTGGCTGTGAGTATGTCTGGGTGCCCGTTTGCATGTGGCGAAAGTGCGTCTGCTTGGAAAATTCTATTCTGTGAATTTTGAGTTTATTTAAAAGAAACAAAAAAAATTGAGCAAGCCCGCAGTTGTTTGTACTTGTTCCTGCCAGTACGCTTTCCTCCCCAGCCAGCCAACTGTGGTGCCGAAGACTCTCGAAACATTAAATAAATTACTCTCCATTCGATTCTTTCACACTTTCTGCACTAGTCGAAACGTTTTCGAAAACTTTTGGGGCAAAAGCATTTAATGCTAGGTGCGAAAACTATTGGGAATTTTTGTATTTAATCAAATGGTACTCGTACTTATTTTGTTTATTTTTTTAGATAATTTGTTTGAATTATGAATTTAAGCAAGAGTTTTTCGTTACCTTTTACATTCCATTTGTCTTCAATTAATTGCTATATTTGCTACCCCGACTGTAGTTAATTTTGAATTTAATTGTCGTTAGTTGTGTTGATCATCGAATGCCTAAAGAGAATGTAAGGAAAGCCCCTTTTGTATCTGAAACGATGTGAATGATTCCATTTGTCGTGCTGGCCCTGCAATGCTGAGACAGATGCTGAAATAAATCATAATAAATCACACATGCTTGGAAAATAAATACTAGAAGGAAAGCACAGCTAAGCAAACATCCAGTGCATACATATGTGTAGTATATATATCATATACGTATATAGATATGCCTAAAACAAAGCCTAGTCCCCATGGCAGGGAAGGGGCAGATGAATGGCAAGTGGAAAAGAGCAATGTCTGGGGGGGAATTAGCAACTCATTCATCTTGAGGCTGGCGGCAGACAAATGTAGTATTTCGAGTTGATAATTCACATTTACTGTACTCTCTCGTTTAATTTCTAATTCAAGTTCTTCATCTTCTGTACCACCACCTGTCCAGGCAACAAAGTTGCCTGCCTGATGCTCTCGATTATAAATAGATCCGCTGGCTCTTTACCGATATCATTGATATATATGTATGTATGTATGTATGCTTACATGTACATATCGGTTCGTACTTTTCTTTATTTTTGTGCAAAATGCGCCATTAAGTCGTATAAATAGATCTTTGAAAAGCGCACAGGGCGCTGAGTCAACGATTGCCTCGAACATTAACCTCATTAGAGGAGCGTCAAATGATTTTCGGCGCTTCTTGCGTGCTTTAGCTTCCTCTGGAGGCTGTCGACTATCCGTCTCTATGGTGGATGCGGTCATTGAGCATCCCACAACCCTGACAATGAACCGTGGCAGGGGTAGTGGCAAAACACTTGACAGTAGGAAAAGTCTCTTGAATCGCTTTCATGGCCACACAATCGAAATCAATTGTTAGTTCAATTTTGCGTCAATCAACATCAAATTTTTTTGTACAAATTTCACCAAATTAACAGCCGATAAGCAGACATTATGACTAGCGTGCGGGAGATGCATTTGGAGGATCTGTTCAAGTTCAATTCTCTCGTCTTTGATGCCCAGACCGAAGTGTACAGTTTGAAGTTGTTCTTGACACATCTCCTGAAGTGGCCAGAACTGTCGCAGATCGCTGTGGCGCCTGGGCCAGAGGCTCGGCCAATGGGGTACATCTTTGGCAAGCATTTCAAGAGTAAACATAACGAGTGGCATGGGCATGTGTGCGCATTGACTGTATCCGATGCCTATCGCCGCATAGGCGTGGCCACACTCCTGATGGCACACATCGACCGGGCTCTAGATGACAAGGGAGCCCTGTACGTGGACCTCTTCCTTCGCCAAAGCAACCGGGCAGCGCATGCTCTGTACAGCTCCTTGGGCTACGTCCTTCGCAGAACCGTGCTGGATTACTACTGCTACGATAAGCCGTTGCCGGAGAATGCCTACGATATGAGAAAGCCTTTGGCTAGCGATGTGCTACGTAGGTCGGTGGCTGTCACCTACACGGTGCCCCAGTGCCTATCGGAGGATGATGAGGATGATCAGTGATCCTCTCTATACTATTCGGCATACATTTGAGCTCATATTTGTGTGTACAGCTAATTAAAGAAAAACTCAATTGCGGTGAATACTTGCCGGCCAGACGAATTTCCGTTGACGCACAAAGGCAAACCGCAGAAGATACAAACATAAGTACTGATACGTAGACTCGTACTAGCAGATACTTTTTCTCCTCATCTTCCCTTTCGATGCCAAACAGAATCCAATTGCAGATCGTGCTGCTGTCTTTTCTATTATCAGAAAAATGTTTCAACGCAAACAAATAAGAAAGAAATTGTGTGTATAGTGTATGGTTTTTCCCTGATGGCTAAAACACGCGCAATGATTTTCCATTTTCACTTTTCATTTGGCCCGGTTTGCGCAACTTAAAACGCACAGAATTTTGAAATTCAATTTTTGTTGTCATATAAACAAAAAAACTCGTCTCCATATGCCCCGCTTCTGACATATATTTTTATGTTTTATATTCTTCCATCGAACAATTTGCTCGAACTTTTGGTTTACTCGCTCGACGAGTGCAATGAACTCTTAATGGGAATGGTCTTTTGGGTCTCTGTTAATGTTTTATTTGTGTTACCAGAAAAAAAGAACCTTCAGTCCCTTCAGAAACTCCTTGAATAGCGCATACGGCAACTGGTAGAGCCAATAGAATCTGTACTTTGTAATGCCTTTCAGTGACTTCCGCTCCACATCGCGGCACAAGGGCATTCGCAATTCGTAGCCATGTTCATTCTCATAGAAATAGGACAACCAACGAAACTTGACAAACCCCAGGGACTCGTAGAGCTGCATGGCCGTGAGATTGCTGGGGCGCACGTAGAGGTCCACATACCAGTCCGCATAGCGCTCTACGGTCTCCGTAAACTGTCCCATCAAGCACGTTGCCAGGCCCAGGCGACGATAGTCGGCGGCCACAGCCAACAAGGAAATGTGTCCATAAGTTGGACGAAACTCTTCGCCAATTTTGTTTTTGCTCACACCGCGGGTGGACACCAGCAAACCAATGAGACGATCATCGGGCGCAACTGCCACCTGGCACAGCTTTGGATTTTGGATCATCTTCCGCAAATAAAAGTTCATGTGGTAGCCCTCCACAAAAGGATCAAAGACAATCGAGTTGAACTTGAACAGATCAGCTGGGACCAGCTCTCGTAGTGAAGTCATTTTGACTGGATCTTATGCTGATTATTTGACAATTTTAAACCTACTTTGACCCGAGCTGTATAGACAGAAAATTGGAACAACCCTGACTAAGATGATTACGAATATCCATGAAAAGTTTGCATACTTTTAGGCTGTTGGTAAATTCGTTGAAAGTTTTTTGTCGATTTATTACATATCACGTCTTAGACTAATCGAAATACTAGATTTATTTGATATTCTTGTAGATCCAGGGCAGCAGCGACGTGACACGCGTATAGACGCCCGGATATTGACCCTTGCCACAGCCAATGCCCCACGAAACGATGCCCACCTGAGTGTAGCGTCCGCCATCGTTGATTATCATGGGACCACCAGAGTCGCCCTATCATATAAACAAGCAATTAAATAGAGACAGGTAAATGGTTTTCAGTAGAAACTCACGCTGCAGGAATCCTTGGCGGCCTGGCCAGCACAAATCATCGACTCGATGATGCCACCTGGCGCTGCACGTCCGTACTTGCGAGCACACTCGGCATTCGCCCAAATGGGTATGTCCACCTTCTGCAGTATCGAGGGCTGTGGACCATTCTCCCGCAGACTGCCCCAACCGGCAACCGTGGCCACCTGGCCGCTGTACGAGCGCGACTGCTGCGACGGCGTCGTGGGCAGGCAAATTGGTTGAATCTCGTGTGTGAAGGGCACAGGCTCACTGAGCGTTAGAATGGCCACATCATTGTGCTAGAAGGAGTCACAAATAACAAACGATTCATATAGAACTTATACCAGTAAGAGTATCCAGTTACCAGTGTGCTAAACTCGAAACCCTTGTGCCGCACGAGTCGTTTGATTCGGCGAGACACATGCTGCACCTCAAAGTCCGTTCGAATATTATAGTCACCCAGGTGGGCGGTCAATGCCGCCACATCCCACGAGGTCATGCTGCAAGGGAGGGACATTAGAAGAGACATTCGAGCAGGAGTTGCAGACCGTTGCCTTACCGTGCCACACAATGGGCTGCTGTGAGGATGTGATTGTTGGTTATCAGACTGCCACCACAGAACTGTTTGCCCGACTTGAAGAGCACCGTTATCCAGGGGAACTCGTGCGGACTGGCATTGCTTCCGCCCACAATGCGTTCCTGATCCGGCGATACCGGATTCTTGTTGCCACACTGCAGCGGCAAGCCCTCGGCACTGGAGCCGCTCACTGGACGTCGCGTGGTCGTCGAGGTCACCGGATAGCTTGGATAGGTGGGACGCTTGGTGGTGGTAGGCCTGGCGGCGGGTCTTGGAGTCGTACGCTTGGTGCTGGGCACTGTAGTGGGTCTGGGCACTCCGGCTGTCGCGGGATGCGTCGGATAATGATGGTTGGGAGGATGCGTGGGCAGCGGTGGCGGCCAGCCGCCAGTTGTAGGTGGATGTGTGGGCAGTGGTGGTGGCCACTGAGCCACTGGGCCTCCTGCAAATGAGCCAAATGGCCACTGGTATGGGTAGACAGGTGTGGCGGCCACTGGTATCGTCTCTACTTCTGGTTCCGCCTCCCGTTCGGGTTCGGGTTCGGGCTCTGGGGCATTTGCCTCGATTGTGTTTACATCCTGAAAGTCCGGCGTGTCCTCCACACTGTTTACATTATCAATGGGATCCTCTGGATGAGGTGCGTCAGCCGGCTGATCTACATTGACAGGCTGCTCCTCGGGCTCATCCGCTTTATCTTCCTCATCGGCAACCGGTGAAGGTTTCTCTGTTGTCGTTGGGGAAGGCAAGGGAAACACTCCGAATGTGTTGGCATCCATGTCCGTGCAGCAGATGCCGTTGTTGATGCGTCCCAGCTGATCAAAGAAGTTGCAGAGGTTTCCGCCCAAGCCGAGGTTTTGCTGGGGTTGCTGTGGCCACTGCCGCAGCGATATGAACGTCAGCTGTCTGGCCACCCGATAGTACTGTCGGCAGTTGCTGATGCGAACACAAGCACCGGGCTGACCCTGAGTCGTAAGGCACTTGGAACCCTCCCATCCACCAGAGCCACCAATGGCGCCCAGGCCGCCAAGTCCGCCCATGCCGCCCTGCAGGAGAAAGAGCGTCGGATCGAAGAAGAGTTGACGCTGTCTCCGATCCAGGCTGGGTGACGAGGGATCTGCAAGAATTCAGAATGGTTATAGGGCAAAAGGAAATGCCATCGATGGGATCCATGACCTCATCCATGCCTCACTTGAAGCCTCACTTCAAAGCACTTCAGAGTTCGTTGGCCTCTCTCCTCTCGTAAGATCTAAGCTTCATACGCAATTGCCTAGCCAAAAACTGTGGCTTCCACTCGAACTCTACTCCCTCCCCAGGCCCATTTCTTCTTTTTTTAGCCAATCTCTTGGGCTGCTATTGACAAAGCACCTAAGTAACAGAAAAATGGGTAGAAAAGACAAACCAATATTTACCCAGCAGCATTCGTTCACGTTTCGTTTCGTTTCAGATTTTGGATTTCGTGTTTCGGGTTTAGGTTTCGGGTCCACGCTCCGACAGTGATTACTCAATATTTTGACATTTTTCGTTGTCGTTTTTGTTGCTTCCCAGAATATTGACAATAAACTTAAGCTCGTTTTGAGTCAGTTGAGTCAAACTGAATGACAATTGCTGTGCCATTTCTTTCGAGAGACGGCCCACGGGTGTGCCCCCCACTGCGGCAACTTTCTACTGTCAATTGTCATATGTTTGTCAGGTCCATTGGCAGCTTCTTAAAATTGGTCTATGGCTTTGTCTGCTGCGATCTGCGGCCTTTTGTTGCTGCTATTTAGCATGAATTTGCTATTTCCCCTTATTTATTACACATTTCTTCTCAGCCTTCGTTTTGGCCCATATACCATGGGATAGAATAGATACCCAACCGTAGCTGGTGTATGAAATTTGCCTAAATAAGCCATTTGGATAGTTTATCTTTGGAGATACATTGCCGTTTACGAGCTGTTAGCTTTTGTGTAGATTAATTGAAACGAGCTTCTTGATGGCATAAGCCATCGTCGAGGTGTAAACTTAATTGATATTAAATCGAGCATAAAATTTGTTATGTTTTGGGGGGGTAGGGTGACGATCTGCACGTGGTGTCTGCCTTCCCCCGACACCCATCGTAATGAAGAATACGTTCAGGCCGTGCCCCGCATCAATAATTAAATTGTATTTTCTGCACGATTTATTTACATATTACACACTCATACACCCAGAGCAAAAATGTTAGTTCACTTGTGTGCGTGACTCACTTGACTTGGAATTTTTAAGCCTCTAGAAAGCCAGAAACACAAAAATTACTCACTTGTCCCAAATAGTGGCTTACATTTGCGTGTTTCAATGTCCATTGTTTATGAGACATTTCATTGATGGCTTTTAAATTGTTATGACAAGCTGTCAACTCAAATCAGAGGAACGAATTTGACTTGATTGATCAATGCGTTCTGCCTGTGAAAGGCTTTCACAGAACCCAAGAGGCAATATTGATATTTATTCTATAATATTTTTCATTGGGCCTTCTTCTACTTTTGCCCACCAACAAGTTTCCAGAGCCAAGCACTTGATGCTCAAGATACTCTCCAAGATTAAACAACATCCAGGGGCAGCGGCAAGTTCAAGGTCTGTCAGACCGTTACAGGTTGCCCCGCCTCTGTATCGGGGGGCGTGTGCAGCATGCAAACCTGAATTCAGCGACAGGAGCCGTACTGCAATATTCAACTGGAGGTCTACTTTATGGCGACTCTTAAATTTTATATGACCAAGAGCCATATAAATGATATTTATCGCGATTCGGATTCCGATTGCAGTCCATTGCTGTTAACAGCCGTTCAGCAAATTGGCCAAAACCAAAAAAACCAACGAAAATAATTTTTAATGAATATTGCCTGATAAATCGGTGGAAGGTGTCAGCTTATGAGCTTCTATATGGCATTTGTTTTTATAGGCCAATCCCCAAACCATCCCAAATTAATAGGCTTATGTCGTCGCCCCGAAAATAAAGTAACATTATCGCAGAACACGCCTGAACACGCAAAAGAACCCACAAAAGAGTCTAATTGTCTAATTGTTGGCCATAAATAAATGAGAGAATAGACACGGAGGAGACATTGACAGGCGACAGACGACAGACGACAGGCCACGACAAGCGTGGAAGTGGAAGTTGATCTCAACTGAAAGTCCACGACTGCCCACACAGATCAGATCAGAGGACCACTAGAATATCTTTCTGTAACTGGCACAAAGGGCTGAGATACCTGACTGAGATTGACAGAGCGACGATGTTGTAAAGGCAAACAACAACGATATGCACACTCGGCGGACAAATTTCGCATTATCTCTATGGTTGCCATATACCGCCGCCCATTTATAGATTTCTGAAGGTCACACAAGTAATGCTCGGTGCGTGCCAGGCATGAAATTTGCTTATCTATCTGAAAAGACTTCCCCCGATGTCGTTGAACTTGCTGGGTGACGTACATTGCGATATATTGTTGGGGTGTATATAGAAAGATGGTTCCCATTCTGGATAGCTCATGGGAAAATGGAATGCCATGCAGTTTATTTGTTAGGGAGAATAAATCGAATAGCTTTCACTTGTCCCTCTAATTTTGGGCTTTGACTCCCAACTTTTGCCCTAAAACCTGGCCCAAGTTCGTGTCTTAATTCTTTTGATTATACTACAAATCCAATTCAAAAACTTTTTAATGCAACACATTTTTTTTGCACACATTAATTGGAGGAATCTGCTCACCTTCCACAGACACTCCAAGTTGCTGCTCCACTGTGGCATTGACTAAGGCAGCTCCTGCCTGGGGCGCCGCCTTGATTTCAACATTCTGCCACACCGCAGGTGCCCCTGCTGCTGCTCCTGCACCGCCAAATGCCTCTTGCAGATCCAGATCCACTCCCGAGATTATTTTAAAATGCAGCAAATGCACACAAAGTAATAAAATCCGCAAAAATGCAAACATTTTCGTTGTTGTTTTTTGCTGCTGTTTCTGTTGCTGTTATCTTCCCAATTTGTTTTCGTTTTGAACTGAGGATACCATATATAACTTGTCTGATATATCGTATATAGAACCGCAACAACGAATCGCGACTCGGAATTTCTTTTCGAATGCCAGGCACGTTGCCCCGATGGCATTCACCTGACCACGGCTGCGACTACGACGGTAAAGACGAAGACGAAGTTCTCGATCTCGGATTCGGTCTTGGTCTCGTGCGTTAGACAGGCAGGACCGTCTGCTGGGTAGTAAGGTCCGATCGCTTCTGAGCCAACAGTTGTCTCTGTGGTTTGGTTAACAACTTTGCTGCCAAACGACAGCAGCAGCAGAAGCAGCAACAGCGTCTGCGACAGCGACAGCGCCGCCAGCCGAAATGTCAATTCTTAGCGCGTTTTCCTTCACTGGTTCGCTTTTGGCCAACTTATTGGGCCGGACCGGGCCGGACACACGCGACGCCAAACGCAATGATGACAACTACCGCTGATCCCGGAGTCGACACATCTAAACTAGTTCCAGTAACACCTCAGTTTCCTTTGCCCACCAGCCAGACAGGGAACGGCACGGGGCAGAGTCTCTTCCAACCCGAATCCGAACACGCACCAACAGAGACTGAGACTGCAACTGGAACTGAAGACTGGGACTCAGACTGCAACTGGAAGTACACACTGGCCGTCTGGAAGTTGTGCGGCTGCACACTATTCCTACAAGAAATCCTGATGCGGTTGCGTCTTTTACTTCTAACCATTTTATGCACTTGGAGAATCTCATCTCAAGTTGCCATCAAACTGGTAAAATGGTATCTCTGCATCAAATTAGAATTCTTTATTCATCGTTAAATATTATTTGCTTTAAGTTGCTATTTAATTTCTTCAAGTGCATTGGCTAGATTAAATTTCCATTTAAATTCCGTGGCGCACATTTCATTTAAAGTAGACCAAAGCCCGTTTTGGATTCGTTTTCATTGCCCAGTCAGTGGTTCCACCAGAGTCCCAGCTGCAGTCTGGAACTGGGTGCCATCGGCAGACGATGCAAATGTGTTTACAAAATAACATGCAAAGTTTACTACGTTGGGCGTCCGTTGAACTGAAGGCAAGGAGAATGCCGCTTAACTCAGGATTCAATTAAAATCCACATTAATCAAGGGCGAGTCGCCGTCAACGGATTGAAAAAAGAACTGAGGTGTTAGAAGTGTCTGAATTAAAGGCAATTGTTGCCCGAGTATTGGCCAGATCATTGCAATAAGCACACTTGATCCCCGCCTCGAATGCTGATTGATGGGAAGCTAAGTGTCACGGCCCAGACCATATTGATGGTGGCCCCTGAACCTTCTCGGGATAATTGTATTTCAATATTTTGCCAACTAATTGTCTGTAATTGGTGCTGCTTTGGGGCACATTCGCCTGTTTGATTGATCGTCAAGTGGGAGTGTTGAATATGCTTTTTGTACAACGATTCAATGGGGATAGCTCTCGAAATGGAAACGAGATTGGTGTGTTCTCAGCTTGGACAGGAAGAGAAAGGAGAAGGGGCAGCAAGTTCAAGAGCCGATGAATTGCCAATTGAACTCTGGATACGTTGGAGTACTGGTCGCAGAATGGAGTAATTAGGTCTTTTATGTTGGTATTTATAGGTATGAATAGAATATACAAATATAAATATGCATTTATTTATTTCCTTAATGATGAGCAGCACTATTCAGATTCATGTGTTCAGGTTGAAAGCAGTGGGTGCATACTCATACATCCATTTTTATGTATGCACACTCATCCTGGAAATACTAATTTAAATTAGTTATTTGCCTCTGAATATTTTCTTTAGGTGAATGTGAAAATAAAGTGAATTTTTACACAGTTCAAACGTAAATCTGTATGTACATACACACGCCTCTACATGTTTTTTACATAAGTAAATAAACACATACAATGGTAGCGAGAGCAGCCTGAAAGTATTGCATATTTTCCATGTAGAATTTGGATGTTAAATAGGTATAAGTAAGTGTCATACTGCAGTATGTAGGAGAATCTACATTTGAACCGTCTACAATGAAACGTTTCAAAATAATACAAACAAAAACAAAAATAGTATGCTTGTAGTTGATTGCAATTACATACATACATATGTTTGTATGTAAATATTTGTAATAACATATTCCTCCCATAAGTATATGGGTTTCCACACTCATTATCATCAGAAATGCGTCATTATTACAGACTTGAATTTGCAAATGAACTTAAAATAAAAACAATAGAGAGGCGGGGAAATAAATTTTCGAAAATAATATTTATTTCTATGTTTTTACACAACTTCTTTCTTGGTTTCAGAATGGATGACATAAATAAATACATATTGGATGTGTAGAAATTATTTCCAAATGGTTTGCCTAATCAATTTTGAGCACTGAAAATTATTTGGAAGCAGCTTTTAAAATAAATTTAAATTTGTAATTATTAGACTAAAGCTAGCTAAGGTCTAAAAACTCGTATTCCATGAGAAACATTTCCATGGTGGTTGTGCATCATTGAACCAGGAATTTCTCGATAGGAACCTTTGAGAAGAACTCGTTGATGTGTGCCACCAGAATGGGTGCCCATTGCTCGCGGGTGGCTGGTATTCCGACGCGGGTGATCTCTGGCAGATTCTCGTTGACCAAATTGAGGATCATGCCATCTGTGGATGAAATAAGTTCATTGAGAAACGAGAATTCCACTTGCTTTAAGCTCCACTTACTGAGGTTACGATCGGAAAAGATTCCATTGGCCGTCACTTTGGCATCGCCGATGTTGACATTGGCATTCAGGCGATGGAGGCTGAGGCGCTGCTGTCCGCTGGGAAGCCGCTCAATGTGTCCGTCAGTGAGAATTGTGGCCTTGATGTTGTCTTAGGGGAGTACACGAAAGTTAAATAGAGAGCACTTTGGGGCAATAGCTTTGGGGGTTTTACTCACCTACGGTTATGTTGAATGGACCCTTGGGCACCAGACGCAGTCCGCCGAACTTCACGTCCGCCTTGAAGTGTCCGCCGGCCTTCAGTTGGGGCAGACCCACACCCAACTTGATCACAAAACCGTTCTCTGTAAAGTTGGACACAACACTGTTCACCTGGAGGTCGCTGATTCCATAGATCTCCATGTTCTTGATCAGCAGTCCGCCCTGGATGCCATCGTTTGTGTACCGGAAGATGCCCCGTTTGTAGAAGTACGGATCAATGGATCCCATGTTAAACTCCGGCACTCCATGGTACTTCAGCTTCGGGGCGAATGTCTGGATCAGTCCGCGTATGCATTCGTTGAGCTCTGGCGAGCTGAGGCTACAGGGTGTAACGCCATTCGAGGCGCTGCTCGGCGTCGTCTGTTGTGTAACTGGAAGACGAAAGTGAGATAAGTTCACGATCGGTTAAGTCATGGCTAACCATAATTCAGTAGTTAAGTTCATCGAGGCATGGCATAGCGCCTTCCTTCGAAGAGATTATGATTATAATTATTATGATTATTTTTGCGATCTGTGGCAGCCGTCCAAGCGTGTCTCGGTGCACGTGTCCCCCGTTGGACATGGACTGCCCGCTTTTCTGCTGCGTTGACATCCGATTGGGGTTTGTGTCAGGGTGACAATACCTAGTAGCCAAGGCTTTAAACAATTAAAATGCCAAGAAGGGAACCGAGTAAACCAAATCCGCCGTGAAAAAGATTTTTAGTGATATTTGTGGAAGTTTTTTAATGAAAGAAAATCGAATAAAAAGCCTCCTCAAAGTGAGCAAAAACTATAACTACTATTCAAGGAATAAATTAATTCGGGTTTACCCTATTAAGTGTTTTTATTTAAATTCACTTATCTTTTTTTTAAGATAAAATATCGCATAGATGTCCCTGACTTGTGGCAATTTTCTTTAATTGTTTGTTATAATCTACTAGCACTTAAAATTCCAAGAACAGGTCTAACAATTGTTGTATTTCCAATTGATATTATGAACATAATTTATCAGGTTTCAACCTGAGCTACGAAGTTTTTTCATGTTGATTCTGTGAACGACTTTCCTGTCTCTAGATTGTTGCAAAACGTGCAATTGGGTGATGTTTAATTATCATGCAGATTTATTCTTGAGACCAACAATCTGTTTCACTCAGAAGAAACTATCTTTAGTCATGGTTATTTCATCTCCTAATGACAAGCATTCAAACACACAATTTTATTTAATATTTCTTTGCCAAATTACCAAAAAAAACCCAGAAACTAATTTAAATACCAAAATAAATGTTGTAATTAGGCATTCGCAGAAGGAGACAATTTTTGGTTAATTTCCCAGCTAAGCTTTTGCTAATTTCCATGCCATTTAAGCGGGTGAGTAACCCTAATGACTCATTTATATTTTTTCTTTTGCTTTTTGCTTTTTTTTTCGTGTTGTTTTTCTTTTGGTTCGCCTGACAAGTTCAATGTCAAAGGTGAACCGAGTGACGGGACAGCCCCAAATCAACGCTTCCAAATGCCAAAACTAAAAGGTACACGAAATGAGTTTAAAAACTTTTTTTTTTAACGCGCTTCGACAAGTGAATTGAATTGAAGTGAAGTTTGTTGCTCAAGTCTTTTGTTTGGCCAAGTAAATGTCAATAAATGACCGCTCGCTCGCATGATATATTTTTGTGAGTTTTTTTGTTTGCGCAATTGGAGACAGGTTACAATTGCAGCTTTCAGTTCGACAAAAGCCCAGCAGAAAGACGCTTACGCATTGATGTAGGTCAGTTTTTCAGCCTCACGCTTTTTGCCTTTTTGCCAGCGGCTGGCCGGAGCGCGCCGACAGCAGCCGGTTTGGATTCGAATTTATGCCTCGTTGTTGGTTTTGTTGACGCTGAACTCTTTTCGCAATGGCCCAAACAGCACACACAAATACTCGCGCACACACACAATCACGCCATGATGCTGATAAAAATTAATGCAATTGCCAATATTTTAATGTGACTTTTTTCGAGCCTGTCGCTCTCTGGCTCTCTTGTTTATTCTGCATTTATTACCGCTCCAGCCTTGCATCACATTTGACTCGTAATCGTAGTCCGAGCACGAGTCGGAGTCCGAGTCAGAGAATTTCTATTTGCACAGTTTTTCAGCAACTGGTCACTGTCCACACACCATCGTCGCCAACGACTTTCAGTGCGGCTTTTACTCAAATCTTTAAGTATGTCAAGTTCAAGTGGCAGAGGCGGTGACTTGCCAGTCTTTTTGTTACATCTTTTAAGCCTTACCGTCACAAATGTGTTAAAAGTCGAATAAATAAAATGTTTTTAGTGCAAATAGACTTGCTAATTTCTATTGCAATATCATTTTCTACAGCTGTTTGGAAATCTCATTTAAAAGTACTTTTTTATTATTATTATTTCTGCTTCTCAGTATTTTCCCTGCTGATTTTTTAAATAGTTTTTGAAGGTTGCAGGTGTAATACACACAAATAAAATATATTTACATATATTTTTAAAGAGTTGGGCTGGGTTAGCGAGACAGTTTTTAATGGGCAGCGCACGAGGCACGCCCTGAGCAGAATTCAAATGAAGAACTTAAAGTCTCTGGAACAAAGGTGGACTGCGAGTGGCGAATCATCTTAGCAAATACAGAAAATAAAGTAAAAATAAAGCTGAATAGCAGGAAGTGGATCTGCCACTGAATTCTAATCAAGGAAGGACAAATCTGGGTGCGGAATACTTAGTGATGGAAACGAAAATGAAATTTACATATATAAATTAAGCTCCAAAATCCTTCAGTTCTGTTACTTTGGCTTAGTCCACATGGACGAATTTCTCTAGACTTATTCCCAAAATTAACCATTTTTCTCCTTAGAGCCCCAAACTTTTCCATGTTGCAACGAGGATAAAAAACTGAGTTGCATTTCCATTTGAATGCCACCTCACTATCCACCACAACCGCGTTTTCAATTACATTTTTCAAATTGCCACTCAACAAGCAAAAAGACTTGGGCAACAAACTTGTTTTTCCGTGTGCAGTTTTTTTGGCTTTTGCTTTTTTCCTTTGGTGGTGGAGGGTGTGGAGTACTGTGGTTTAGTGTTGTGTTTCTTTGAATATCAAGTTCTTGTTTTAGTTACATAATCCTGTTTACCTCCATCAAACTGCAGGCCGCCAAAATCGAATGACCCCGCCTCGGCCTCGCCTTCCTGATGGGAGAGACTGGGGCTGAGACTGGCATTTGGATTGGGATCGCTGCTGAAAACGCTTGGTGGCGCCGTGGACAGCGTGGCCGCTGAGACACTTCCGAGTGCCAGCGCCGCCAACGTCAGCGAGAGGCAGAGCAAATGCATTTTCGGGCAAACCTTTTGCTTTACTTTCCTTCCTTCGAACTCTTTTGCACACAGTGAAAACCCGTTTTAATGGATTACCTAGGCACTGCTCTATGCTATTTCTGTGCGACTTGACTTAACACAATAATTTTGTGGTCGCCGTGGTGTCTCCTTGTTTTTGTTTCTGCTCTTTTTTTGCGTAATTTTTTCAAACCGGCTTCACTTTTATTTCTACACTAGTGTGGTGTTTACAGTTTCTCTGGTGTTGTTTTTGTTGTTGCTTTTGGATTTTCTCGGTTAACTGCAATTGTTGCTGCAATTGTTACTGCACACACACAAACACACTAACAACTGCACACAGAATGAGCGAAGGAGAGATAGAGATGGAGCACGCGAGACGCAGACGAACTAATTGCCAAACATCGGCGCAAAAAAAGATCTGCAAGCAAAATGTTTTGTGTTGACGGCGCGTCGGTTGCAAATCTTGAAATGAGCGCTGCATAAAACCCACCGTTATTTATAGTTTCCGAGCTGCACGATTTGTTTGGACTTTTTTTCACTCAATGCTGCCGCCGAAACAGAAACCGAAACCAAAACCGAAGCCGAAAGCGACAAAAAACAGCAACAACAATTAAACAGCAATATTCGTACAGGCAAAAGCTCATCGTGCCGAAAGCTTTTCGAGATTTGTACTTAGTAGTCTGATAACATATCAATGAATGCTACGCGGATGCTAAATTTAAGCTGGGTAATCTCTAATGCCTGTAAAGGAATGCCAGTTATTTGGAATATATTCCCAAGTATCGTTAAAGATACTTACATTTAAAAGTTATTTTCTCACACACCAGAATCAGTCGCATTCCCACACGGACCACATCAGCATCCATCTAAAGAGTGCACCCGCAAACCTGTCACGAGGAGGAACAATGAGGAAACTGTCAGACAACTCTTTCCAATCCCTGTTTTCAGTTCAACTTGCAGGGCACGTCTGCAGTTTGAGAGGCACTGCGGGTGTGAGGCCATACTGGGAGGGCATTGTCTTGGGCAACCTTTCCTACGACGGGGTGGGTGCTATTCATGAAAATGTGGGTCAGTTATAAATCTTCGTAGGCATTTATACTCACCGCGTGCTGGGGAATAGGCCGCATAAAATTATGCATGAACTTGAGAAATTTTGAGCTGTTCAAATCGATTTTCAAGGCTGTCTGGCTCTGGAGACGTGATGACTAGCAAAGTCAGAGTTGTGGATTGCAAAGATCAGAACATTTGATTTCTCTGGAAGATTAGGGAAGTCACTTCCTTTTGGCAAGACATCCGTCTAACCACTCTTTGTACAGTCACATAAAATATCTAATTAAAATGTTTAATCTGCACATTTATTATGCCCGGCCAGTCGTGGGGCAGACGACACTCGCGTGTTGGTTTGTCGGGCTTCCCTTCCCCAATTGCTTTCAGTATGCGCAGCACAGAGCAGTCTCTCTATAAGCAATAAGAATAAATAATTATTGGCAATATAGTGGGCTGATTTATGGAATAATTTGCACTGTCTACGGCTCAAACTTTACCCAAGTACAAATACATCACTTTATGCTAAGGTGTACAATAAAATGTACTTTTTATCTCACTATTGCCCCCCAGAGTCCGGTCTGGTCAGCCTCTATTTGTTTGTCGCTAACAAACAACTAACAAATCGTAAACCCCCATTCGATTCTTCCATACAATTCATTATTTATTGTCCCGGCAACCGAAGCCGCCAGGAACTACGAAAAAATTCAGTTTAGACTCATTAGAGTGCCCCTCTCCACGGAAATCTTTAGTAAAAGGCGAAAGATTTATTCGACAATTGAAGAGAAGCCAGAGTGATATTGCTATACCAAACACTGGAACAGGGAATTAGTGTTTTCAGAACTATTTGGGAATCTTACACATGTAGAGGTTTCTGAAGATGCCCGGGTCACATCGAAGTAGTCATCTTTGTCTCCCTACCACCCCTTTTCTAAGTACTTCCTGCATTTTTCTGTCATCCCTTAGTAATCCTTCAAGCTATCTCCCAGATACACTCCTCCTCTTCTTGGTTTCATACCTTGAATTTATCTCAAAGTAACCCCTAACATAGGATGCACAAACAGGAAGACCGATGGTTCTTACATAATAATTCCCAACTGGTTCTGGCGGCGCGCTTATCGTGTGATGGCTGTTTTACTGTTTCTAGTTATCGCTTCTCGGCCTTATGGCTAAGATCAAAGTGTAGTATCTGTTCTTATCAGCTTAACATCTGATAGTTTCTCCATTGGAGAACAACAAATGTTAAACTGATTTTTGGAATCAGACGGAGTGCTAGGGGCTTGCTCCACCTCTGTCACGGGTTGGCCCGGTATTGCAGTACCGCCGGGATTTCGGCCCAACTAAACAATAAATTTCACACAGTAAAATATAAAGTAACGAATCGTAGTTGGAGTATTGCACAATTTCACTTTATAGCTCGCTCTTGGCCCTTGTGATACTCACATCTCTCGCCCAATGTCGGCTTAAGGTCAGCTGTGTTGCTGCACTTAACCTATAAACGCTACTATCATTAGAGGTAGGTCGGTCACCCAGGGGGGTGATTTCGAAAAAATGTGAATGAATTTACGCACGAGCACGCTAAGCCAGCTATGGGGCATGAAATGTGCAATTAAAAATCGTTTTTTTTATTCTTCCAGCTGACTGGGACTGTAAAGAGCTAACAAGGGCGTCTGGAATTGGCGTCCATTACACATGGTACAATAATTATCATTTAATTTCACCTAATGCAATTTATTTATGCACTATAAAGCCATCATCACAAATTGTACACCTAACTTAATTGAACGACTCATCGTTAATAAACTGATCGATGGGAACCAGTTCTAAGGCCTCATTGAACATGCGCAGCATGAGTGGCTGCCAAAACTGACGCGTCTCAGGCAGCATTATTCCATAAATATCCCGCCAATACTGATTGGCGAAATTGAGAGCTAGTTCATCTGTAAATAGAGACAAGCATTGAACCTCAATAAATACTACAACTTTTGCTGGACTCACCCAATTCTGGATCTGCGAATATTCCATTGGCTTTAATTTTCAAATCTCCAATCTTTGGCGATGTGTCGATGTTGCTGAGCCGCAGGAACCGATGGCCATCCTTCTTGTAGAGCTCCCCCTCAGTTTGTATCGCTACCTCCACATCCTCTGGAAAGATTTAAAGCAATTGCCAGTTAGAAAGATGCCAGAGCAGAACGTAGTAGAGCAGGGTAAACTCACTCAGCGTTACGTTGAATTCGCCTTTGGGCTTCAGATGGAGCTGATTCACCTGCAAGTCGGCCTTGTAGCTGCCCACAATGTTCATCTTGGGCATAAAGGTGATCAGGTTCAGCTTGACCTTGTCGCCATTGAGCTCGATTTTCACTTCTTTGGCGGTGTTGGCCGCAATTCCGTAGATCTTGGCATTCCGCGCAGTGATGCGCCCGTTGACGGTGCCACTTGAGTACTGGAAACTAGTGCGGTTGAGGTGTAAGGGCTCATATGGAGGGATTCTCAGCTTGGGATTGCCGTCCTTGAGACGAGGCATCAGCGTATTGAGTATCTCCTTAATGCAATCCGCCAGCTGGTCCTCGTCCGTTGCGCATTTTGGTAGATCGTTCGCTGTGGAAAACCACTGGATAATGCAAAAGATCGTGGCTTGGAAGAAAATTATACACACCCGAAAAGTATTTGCTACCATCAGCTTGGGCTGGAGCAGGAACTGCCTTGACCTCCAATGCTACCAGGCACAGGCACAGCAATCCAATGAGGTAATTCATTACGATGATCTATTTTGTATCCTTCCTATGACTGATCAGCAGTTCAAACTAGCGGCTAGAACGTTTCTCGAACAACTGAATCTCTCACACGACAAGTCGAGCTATTTTATTCTCGAAATTAGCACAAAGCTGCTTATTCCTAGTCAGAGACTAACGGCTGGAGACTGGGGACTGGAAACCAGAGACTAGAGCGCCTCTTAGTACGAACTAAACTGAGTACATTTTACTTGTAAATCAGCAAAGTATTATCCAGCAGACAGTTGACTTTGACTGATCGCAAAACCGGCTCCGTGCTCTCCGATTTATAATGTCGTATTATTTAATGGTAAAATTATTGAAAATGTAATAGCCTACGACAACGATGATTTGCGACAAATCATTTTAATAATTACCTATACCTTTTTTATTTATCACGGATGAATTATTTTGGCCATATCTTGGTATAGATTTGTAGCGATTCCGTAGAAGGGTTAGCCTGAAAAGAACTTCAGAGCTGGTGACTCATTTCCGTATAATTTCCACAATGAACTTTGGTTTTTGCTCGCACTAGAAACGAAGCAAATATATTACTATAAGTATATTCTATTTAGTGCTGATTTGTACGAGTTCGAGTTGTTACACTGCGCAACAACCTTCCGACTTAAATGTAGCCATAAAGATGATTTTCAGAAATATTTTCTGCTAGATTATTATGCGGATTTCTTCATTCAACTACACAGTTGCATTTGATAGTGACCAGTTACAACAGGGCTTACGTAGATCAAGTTGACCCAGGCCGACCATTAAATTTAGAATCCATTTCGAGAGAGTAATTGTAAACTATTTTCTCTGTGTAACCAAATGCACACTGACACAGATGTCGTCAGGCCATCAATCATTAATGACTGTCGAGCAATTCTCGTTGAAATTGAATGCAAATCAGTTATACCCTTTAATTTTATTAGGGTACATTTTAATCTCGTTGTGGTTGGAATATATGAACATATGTATGTAAGTAATATACGAGTAGAGACAGCTAAATCTAGTTTCTCGTATTTAATAATAAAAGTAAAATAAAGAGGAAATTGTATTTCTCGTTAGTTGTGTTGTATTTGCTAGGTTATTGAAGTCATTCTCTCCGTAGACATATATTAAAAGATTATCAATCAATTAGGCATAATTGAAGCTAAACAAATGTACGTTTGTAATAAGTTCAACTGTAAACAAAACTAGAGGCCAAGCGTCTATACAAAATCAACCCACTCCAATCAATGGCAAAACTAACAAACTGTCTTTTGGGGAGTTCAAGTACCTGGTAAAGATAATCACTTTTTGGTAATTGTGTCACCAATCACCAATATTCCTCATATTCCCAACTTATAATCCGAGGTATTTGTGGTATTTGATACTCTCTTTATTGGGATACAAACTATGTTAACACCTTGAGTAGAACATATAGAACCGAAGTGTTTAAATACTACAACAATTGCAAGGTAAGTCAAAGAATTCTCTCAATCCTTGGTCACCAGAATATCGAATGGTAAAGCAGCAAAGAAATCGTTTGAAGACTTCAGCAGTAGGGGCTGCCAGGAGGCCAGTGTCTCAGGCAGCATTGCCTGATAGAGCTGGCGCCAGTACTGGTTAATAAAGTCCAAGATGACATCGTCTGCAGGCACAAACAAAAGAGATAGTCTTAGATAGCGGATTAATTGATTTGTGCATAATGGAGAGCTTACTCAGAGCTGGGTCGGGCACCAGGCCATTGGCGTAGAAACGCAAGTCGCCCACTTTGGGCTCAGTCTCCAGTTTGGTCAGACGCAGGTAAGTGTGACCGTCGCGCTCGTACAGCTCCCCGGTGGGCCTCGCCCTCATGCTGACATCGGCTGCAGGTAAACACATAATTGCAAAAATATTTATTATATTTAGTTTAAAGCTGGGGGCTATCTGTGTTGGCACTCACTGAGGGTCACGTTGAAGGTGCCCTTTGGGGTAAGCTTCAGGTCGTTCAGCTTGATGTCTGCTTTGTAGGCACCCTCGACAAGCATTTGGGGTACGTGCGAGAGGATCTCCATTCGCACTTGTCCGTTCTTTAGGCGGAAGTTGACCTTGTCCACAATGCCCTCGCTGAGGCCATGCACGATGACATTCTTCATGGCAATGCGACCCGTGAGCAGGCCCGAATTGTAGGTGTAGGAACTTTTGCCCATCTCGAAGGGATCCAGCGGTGGGATGTTCAGCTCGGGAATGCCGTACTTCATGCGTGGGGTAATCTGCTGGATGCCCTGCTTGATGCACTCGTTGATATTGAGATCGCTCTCCCGACATGTCGGTATATCGGCGGCTGTCGAAGGTCAAACGAATTAGATTAGAACGAGATTGGGCGAGACCCTGACATATTTAGCCACACATAAACACACATAAACGGTAGCTTAATCGTTTACGAGCTATGCGCTGTACTCATGCGCTTATGCTCAGAACGTGACATTTTTCAGTTGAGAATATTCAGTTTCAGTTTTGGTTTTTGTAATTGTCGCTTTTCTGCTGCTCACATAATTGTCAACGTCGTGCGCAATTTATTTGCTGTTTGGCTTTTGTTTTTGCTTATGTTCCAAACGAGAATTACTATTGTACATTCAATTAAAAAGAGTCTCTACTGTACGCATCGAGCATTGAGCACACACACATCAGTTAAGCTTGTTTCGCCTCGACTCTGCTTGTAATTAAGACTTTTTGCATTGCTCAGCCGTAGCCGTGGGCAAGGCCATCCATCCAGCGGAAGTAACAATTCCACCACAAAAGACTTAGGCCACGAACTTGCCGAAATTCAAAACCCCATACAAAACGATTCTATTTTTATTAAACCCCCATGAACAAGATATATTTATGACAATAAACTTCTTGGCACTCAGCAAATGGTCAGCATGACAATTCAAATTTAATTAAATTAAATCTGAATCTGAATAATACCGAAATAAACTCGAAATAAGTGAATATGTTTGCTGCTCTCCGAAAATTGCAAATGCAATATAATTTGCGGATATTTCACCACTTCTAGGCATCAATTATATTTTATATTATAAGCTTCTGAGCCTTAAAGGCATTCGCTTTCACTTCCAGAATACTAATCATGCTATTATATATTTTGTTTGCCTTTAGAACCGCCTGCCAGCCATTTATAGATGCCACAAATAAGGATTGATTATGGTAATCAATAAAAATAAATAGAAGCTGGATTTTTGTATACCTACGAGACTTGGCTTTAGCTCTACAGTACAGCTAATATACAAAACTATAGGTATCTACTTATTGTGCAATCCCATTGTTTTAAGAAAAACTGTATGAACTTTGACTCGTAAGTAGGTTGATTGCTTTGTTATAAAATTCACACAAACGTTGCGTGCCTCACACGATTATTGCTATTGCGGGGAGATGGCAATCTTTTCGCTTCTCTTGAATTTCGTTATTTATCTGCTAATACTACAGCTTTAAAGATCACATCTTAAACATCCCAGCTACAAATGGGTGACAAATGTGTAAAGGGAATATCGTCGGATATCTATTAAACATCCTCTTACAAATTGTATGAAAGTGCACGGAGAATTTTAGAGGCTCGACCAGAGGCTCAAAATGTTGTACCATAAATTAAAAAAAAAACCATAAGCCATAAAAATAGTCTTTTGTTGAAATTAACCTAAAAATATTTGATGCGTCGATATTCGTTCTTGCAGTTTGTCCTTTTTTTCTTACAGATGATGGCATTCATATATTCATAAAAATTCCATGTTCTTTCAAATATATGTAAGATCATTGTTAGCTTTTTTTTATTTATCTCTATTTTTTAGCTAGATTAATCCTTGATACTAATATTTATGTTCTTAAACAAACAAAATTAATGAGAAAAAAATGTTTCCATTCTACCATTATGGCTACTGCGTAAAGAATTTTCATAATTGACATATTGAATATCATTATTACACACTTGATTTTTATGATCAAATCTGACCTCATAAATTTAAGATGACTGAATATGTTACTGTTGCTATTTCTGACTCTATGTGCAGTAGCATACCCAAGCTATTATTATTCGCTTGTGGTTTTTTCAATGACAAAACTAAGAACCTGAACATCTGTGTATTGTACTGAGACAATACTCAAACCTTTACAAAATACAAGATGAATGGTTTCACACTAAACTTATTGCACATATGTATGTATGAAAAGTGCACAAAAGACCGTTTTGTTTTGTTTGTTAATCCAATATTTAGTGGGCACAGTTTTTGTTACACTTTTATTTGCATTTTTGGCACTCACATAATTCTCGAACTGGCTTGAACTCGACGGGCGGCAACTCCGCTTCGAAATCCTCAGCCAGACACACTCCGCACAGTGCGAACACAACGAGATTCCACAATAGATTCATGATCTTTGGTAGTTTTTAGGTGTTAGCTCTCGATGATAAGTTGGTGGTAGCTCAGTGAGTTATCCTTTCTCAGGTTTGGTTTACTTTCGGGGGAGGGAAATGTACCTGGCCCATGCAAATGCGAATCGACATCTGAGACTTTCGATCAGACTGGGCCTTTTATTTATGGCCAGAAAGCAAATCAAATCAAACCCAATAAAAGCGAAATTGCAAAGACAAACGACAATGCAAACACAAACACAAACACTGATGCTCCGGCAATAACAAATAATAGGGTTTGGGTGGAGGGGGCGACTGGAGGTGGAAACGGAGGCGGGATGTCACTGTTCGCCGGCGAAACGAAAATGGTCATAGCTTGGAGCTAGAGATGGGATTGGCTGGGAGCTAGAGAGTGCTCCAAGAAACGAGAATACTCACGAGAATAATAAACCAGCACAAAAACTATGTACATAATATATACATATGTATGTACACCTTTTAAAAGTCTACATAAGTATTTACATCCACATTTTTTTGAAGCTCTGCTATTGCACGAAATGGAGTTTTGCAGTGACACGAAGAGAAAAGTCATTGTCCATGCACATCTCTACAAGTACATGGAACTAATGACGACGTCGCCGCCGTAAGTCGTTTATAGATAACAAAGCAAATGCAAAAGTCAGCAGCGAAATACAAACGACATTATTAAATCCCCTCCCCAGAGTCGTGAAGTTGAAGCCACCAATCGCCCAGCGACTCGACTCGATGCGATTCGACTCGGCTCGATGCGATTCGACTTGCCTCGACATGGCTCGACCCAAAACCTACCCGACTGCGACTACTACCGATCCATCAGATCCAACTATCTACCAACTAGCGACAATCGACTACCGGCAGATGTCGGATGCGCTTCAAGCGGCGTTTGATGCTTCCTCGTCTTGCATTGCTCGACACGTGAACACGTCTCCAGATCTTGGTCTCTGAAATGGATTCGCTTCTGGGTAATGCAATTAAAAAAAACACTCAATGAGTTTGCCTAGCACTCGGATCCATTCCACTGCCTCCCAAATAATAGCCAACTGTCTAGGGATTAGTCATCCCCTCGATTGTGGTGGCAACTATCCAAAGGTCTTGCTGGGATCATGGCCAAATCTCACCTTTTGTTTGTGGAAACTATCTATTAGTTTATCATGCACTGCAATTACTCAACAAAGTTTATGGGTTACATAGTTCAGTCTTAATCTATGGTTTGCAATCGAACTTGCATACGAGATTACATGGTACATTTATTTATGTTGAGAGTACATATTTGCATGCATACTCGTACAAAGTTCTGTATTTTCGAGTAGTTGCTCAAGATAAGGGGCTCGTTTGTTCAATTGTCTCACAATTCTTAGATAAGGTTCTCTCGTACTTCATTTAAATTTTGAATTGCACATCAACTGCACTTGAAATATTCCCGAGAATATTTCATTTCCAAAGAACTTGGAAGCTTTGGCACGTGCTTGATGTGATAATCAACTACTTACATTTCAAAAGCTTTTCATATAATAATCCAGAATAAGTATAAGTTTCTTAAGGAGTTTGCTAATTATTTATTTATTTAAATTAACAATTATCTGCTAGTTATGGAATAGGAATAAAAACAAACGAATTATATATGTACAAAATAGAAAGGAGCTTAAAAGCATGTTAAAAAGGGATTAGGGGAAATTCAATTTAGTTAGAACTGGTTTTGATATAAATATAAGTACATATTTATTTATAAAAATATTAAAAAGTTTCCTCGAATTCTCGGAGTTGCGGTTACTAACTTCTCAAGTAAAGTCCCTGAACATTTCTAGACCTACGGAATGTTCTGTTCTGACTGGAAATAATTACAATTCTGTACCTTCTCTACTCTATTAAAATGGTAAATTAGTTAGCTAGATGTATGTAGCTGAAGAACCTGCTAAGCTCATCAATATCAATTGCATATCTTATCGCACTATGCCCTAGAAAACTCCTAGAGCGCGCCATCTCTCACGTTGATCTGTCCCCTGACCTAGCACAAGAGAGACGAGACATTCCAGTCTCAATCTTAAACCTTATCAGCTCTTGTCTGCCTTTTGCAACCCAAGTAAAAGTCACTGCAGAGCGGACCTCTCAGACCTCATCTTATCGACATCTATTGCAAGAGACGATGGACTAGGAGAAGCATTACAGTTTCCTGGAACTGGAAAACCCTTAAAAGAACACATTGCAGTGCCACACATATCTTATCAATGAGCTGAAGACAAAAGGGGATAGACAAATGAGGCCGCAAAATACATTTGGGCAAAAACCAAATTGAAAAATTTGAAAATTGAACAAGAATACGTACGAAGATCGATACACAAACGGCATTGACAGAAAGAAGCTGCGACAATGGATAATGGACAAGCCCGGAATAATCAGCAAACGAGGAACAAACACGAATTGAATGAACATCGGTCGTCGGGCATTGTATTGTAGATCGGACAAACAATAGGCGCGCATTTTGCCACCTACGGAGAAGGCAGAGGCAAAGAGACTGCAAATTTGTTCAAGTCCAGCCAGCCATCCAAACAACATCTGACAGAATGCTGACAAGAACAAACATGCACACGGCCCAGCGGGTGTCGTTTCGTCTCGCTCTGCACGGGTAGGTAAGAATCGGTTGTGCGAAAGGGATGGCATGCAATCGTGCGCGTGCATATGCGTGCGCAGGCGTCGCGGCAGAGAGATCAGGCAGCAGACAGCAGGCAAATCAGCTGATTTTACGATCTTGTTTGTGTTTTGCAAAAAAGAAAACATTTCTACTCGACTTTGTGTAAACAGAGACGGAGCCATTAAACTGTTTTGGCGGATTACAGGGGGTGGCGCTGTTGATAAGCGCACCCACGCGGTTGCATATAAGACATGCGAGAGGGCAACGGGTCATCAGTCAATCATCGAGTGACACAGCGAACAGAACACCATCACCAGAATGCAGAATCAAATCTATCGCCACAAGAAATTTGATTTTGGGCGTTCATCGGCAGAGAAAGCCGATTTGCTCCTCAAAGAAGAGCTCATCTCCCGCACTGGAACGCCCTGCAGCAGTCGTAGCGCCTACGATGAGTGGGAGGAGAGCAGCACCAGCCACCGTTCCAGTGAGTATGGAAGCCACTTTCTGCCGCTGGCTAAGCGCCGACGCCTCGACGCCTCTACCACATCATCACCCACTGTATCCTCCTCGCATTCTCTAACCTCGATCTGTGCGGCGGCTCTGCAAAACATCTGCAAGTATCACGGCAACATGGTACGAAAGTTCCCCAAAAAGGAGCGCACGCCCAAGGATCAGGAGCGGCGAAACAAGAACACCATTGCCTGCCGCATGAGTCGGCGCGTCAAGAAACTGGAGCATCTGGCCATCGAGGAGCAGTACAACGAGTTCTCCAGCCAGCACCTCAAAATAGCCGAGCAGAGTATGCGAGCCTGTGTCTATCTGAATCATCTCCAGCAGCTGGTCCAGCAGAAGTCCAAGGAAGCAGAAACAGCAACAACCCAGCCGCCCCAGAAGATTCCCCCGCCTGCGAAGAACTTCAGCATCGAATATCTGATCGGAGCGATGCAACGGGAGCAGTCCAGCTACTCCGAGGGAAATTCCCCCTTAATCACTGTGTGATTACATCTATTATTTGATTTTAGTATTTAGTTTAAGCTTGTTTTAAGTGTTTTTTTGTAAGTTTCTCCAAGAAATTAATGGTTTAGTTTTAAATAATTTGTAGTCCCTATTATCTGAGTAGAACCCATAGAATATTAGTCTTTACATTACTTGCAGCAATATTTCTTTGAGAAATACAAATTTAATCCATGATACATACTACTTTATTATTACTCATTAATCACACATCATCAGGTTGAACCATAATCTGTCCATAGCGACCTGTGGCATAGATCTTCCTCTCGTCGAGCAGGGCAAAAAAGAAGGGATGGGAGGCAAAGAAGTGATTCGCTGTTCTCCCGGCATCATGCCTACTTATTTCTCTGTTCCAATCTGCAAGCGGCTGTCCATGGTGCTTTAAGTTGATGCCATTCTCGTTCAACTTCAGCTTGGTGTAATGTGCCATACTGCGCACCCAAAGACCATCTGCTTGGCCAGTTACGCGGCTGAAGTCGGCTTCATCCCGCTGGAAGGCTCTCTGAACGCCCAAGTAGTCCATCCCACGGGCCAGTTGGATGTGCGTCGTGAGATCGATGATGGGTAGGCGAACATCGTACTCTACCTTTTCCATGTCGGACTGGAGCAAGCGCCGCAGATCCACAAACTCCAGCTCCTGTTCCAGCTGCCGCAGTCCCTCCAGCTTCCATGGTAGAATCACCATGAACTTTACCGAACTATTTGCGAGTGGCAGCAGCAGCATTGTCGATCGTAAGTTGCTCAGTCGAGCCACCTGACGCCTCCTGGCCAAACTGTACATGGTGTCCACGTAGGTGCGCCGCCTCTTGTCCACATTAAACTCGCGCAGGCGTCGGTTCTCGCGGTGGAAGCCAGCATTGTCCCACTCAGCCGAGAAGGCCGCTCCTGTCACAATAAAGATTTCAGGTTGAATTTTCACGTCAAAGGGCAGGTCGTTCCTATCGATCAGAGTGCTCAAGCTCGGGCTCAGCTGCCACAGCTTCCTCGCCAATCTGCGCATCGTGCGAATCGGCTGGGTAGACACCAGATCTCCTCCCATATTGCGAATCTTTTGCACATACCCTGAGCTTAGATTTAGTTCGGGTGGCACGAAAACTCCGATGTACCTTAGCTCTTTAAAGTGACTACCAGCAGTTGGACTTTGGATACCCAATTGTTCTATCTCGGGTTGGTTCATTGCTTCGCGCACTTCCTCCGCTGTGGAGCCGTTGGAGCCGTGAAACAAAATACCCAAGGCAGCCCCAACATTGCCATGGGATATCGCCAAGCCATTGGGTACAAACATATCCAAGTCATCGACAATGGCTCTGTGGAGCAACGTCGCGTACTGACGCTGCGGCCAGCCATCGGGATAACGCTCCGTTGGTATAATCTCCTGACTCGGGCCGATCCAGCAACTGCAGAACCAAAGGACACATAGAACTAAAGGGTTAGTAGTAACAAAGCGAGTATCTTCCGCCTACACTCATCACTCACCTGTTACCATGATGAATATGCACCATAAATATATTTCTAAATAGAGAAATAACAACTGCAACTCGTTATAAGCCATGATAATCGAATCGGTCATGCTGCGGACTTGCATAAAACTAATCAGATTTGGTATAACTATTGCTAAGAAACGAACTTTGTGATCAAAGTTTATGTATGCCGGTGGATCTCCAACGAGAAAAGTTCCTTTTATAATTGCTCATCGAATTTTAACAACTAATATTGATCGAAACGGATACTAATTTTGAAGGTCAACGAATTTACGTTTCCTCTGTGGATGCAACGGTTGCAATGGATGCATCCTCGTCATTCTCGGGATCGGGCGTTGCGCTTGGTCCCTGGCCCAGGAGATCATCATCGCTGTGCTTAGCCTCGTCTGCTTCCTCCACTGGATTGCCCATGAGCTTGGCCATATCGAGATACTTGAGATTCTCCTCCTCGCCAAAGGTTTTGAATGGCTGATTGGCGCCCACGATGGCCACATTGATTGTGAGGGCTGCGTTCTCCTCGTGGCTGTGACCCAGCGTGCCACGAATGGCCTGAATGCCGTGGCAAATCAATTCGTCCATCGAGCTGCTCTCGAAGCTGTCCAAGTGGCGCTCCAGGTAGGTGCGAGCGGTCTGTGAACGTGCGCCGATCGCCATGGCCTTGCAGCTGAGGACCACCGCTGAGGGCATCACTTGGTAAAGGTGAGATCCACCGTCATCGTAGCCAGCCACCAAAATGCCCACTCCGTACGGACGGCGATCGTATCGCTGGGTGGTGGCCTGCATCTTGTTGCCGAGATTGGTCACCAGTCGGTTCACGGGCATACTATCGGCGTACGAATGGCGAAAGGACATGCACTCGGTGCGCATGTATTGGCAGATTAGACGGGCATCCGCCGTCAGACCGGATATGGATATGCCCAGGTGCATGTCCACGGGCATAATCTTGGGCTGCATCGTTTCCGTTTCCGATGCGCGGCACAGTGCAATGAGCACTGCGTAGTCCTTGCTCTTCAGTCCTACGGTGGCCGCTCCCTGCTTGACCGCCTCCATGGCATACTCCACCTGAAAGAGGCGACCCTGTGGACTCCACACCGTCGTATCGTTGTCATACAGATTGCGAAACATCTTCCAAGAATAGTTCTTTGCTTCCAAATTCATCTATACAAAAATATTAGTCGTGTGATATTTATTTAGAAATGGATTTGGGGTAGGTGTGGTTGTGGTTGTGAAATGTATTTGCTTATTTATTTAATTCATATTTCAAATGTCGACAGAAGGATCAAATCTGATTTAAATCAGATTTTTACGGAACGGTTTCATTTCGACTATTTTTGCTGGCTCGACCGATGCCAGACCACATCAGGTGTTCGGCACTAATGAGCATGAGGCTTAAGCACGAGACAACCGACTGGATGTCCACATCCGGATTGTGGCGGATTGTTCGCATACGGACTGGACGACTTCCTCTTCTTGGGCATTTAAGGTGTCGCGTTGCAACATCTTCTCGTGCGATGCCTTGGTGAGCATTGGAGTCAAGGAGCAAGCAGTCGTGCTTAAGCAGCTCGGATGCTTAGTTGTCCATGGACTAACAGAAAGTAAAGGTGCACACATTGCTGACTGTCAGAAGATCTTCCAGATGGTAGGATGGTGCCGATTCGGCTCTCATGGCGCTTATCGACAGAATATCAGGAATACCCTATTTTAGAAACATATAAATCCGAATATGGAGAGTTGACAATTGCAATATGGGAAAAATAGTTGAACTAGAAGACGCTTTCACTAACCCACTCCTAACCCGCAGTCAACTCACCTTGCATAATGCTTAACCAAGTAGAAAATGAACGGTCTATGTATAAGGAAATCCCCCCGATCATAGGCAGAAAATATGCTTAGAGACATGGACGACGATGACGCCGACGACGAGAGTGCAGCCAAGTGTGTCACAGTCTGTACCAGAGAAAACTTTACTTAATTTGAGTATTCATGCGCCCAGGGGCAAGGCAAGGCAAGACAAGTCCCCGCCGTAATTAACTCTTTTGGCCATTGCGCAATCGTAGCGAGCGCGAGCGCAAGTGCAGTTAATTGCTCTTAATTTTCATTGTGGGCCATTTGATAATATGTGCTCGAGAGAGCGGGCGCCGCCGCCTCGCAACTTCCTATGCTGAAAGTGGAAAATCCAAGTGCAGAAAATTTCCGTCCCATTCCGTGGCCATGGCAGGCGGCAACCCAATAAAACCACTTTGCACTTGTACCATGCGAACAAACCTCAGGTTTTAGTTAATTGCCAACTTTTCAGTTTTTCAGCATTCGACTGGCTCGCTCTGGCCTGGCCTGGCCTGTCTAACATTGAAAATTGCATCTGTGCAGTTGCGAAAACGTTGTCTCACATCTCATCTCAGTTGAACTTGAGGCCACCCCAGAGACCGACCCCACAAACTTTTCACAGCAATCAGTCTGCCAATATTTGTGACCCATTGCGCCAGGCCGATGCCGAATGTTCGTTTCAACCAAAACTGTGTTGTTCTTTGTGGTTTCTTGAACCTTGGAAAAAACCCCCATGGGCAGATTGTGAAACTAAGTGCGACTAAACAGGCTGAACTTTTTTGTGTAATTGTTTTCAAGAAACACTCATCTATCCATCCATGCGTGACTAAAGCTAGATATAGCTAGTATAGATGTAGGGTATAAAAGTATACAAAATAATCCAGTATGAAGTAAAGATTTTTTTATTCAATAAAAAAATTGAGGCTTATCACATCAGGGGGTTCTAGATCACATTATGGTTCATAGTCAATATAGAACTCTTGCAGCTTGGCCTGTCATCGCTGTGCTCCAAAGACGAGCATTTGCTGGGAGAGGGCCATCTGCTGGAGAAATTGCTGCTGCTGCTGGGGTAGCTGGTTGCTCGGGGCGGTGATTCCGCGATGGAAAACGGCAGAGAACAGCAGCTGGCGGTAGTAGAGATTCACGCGAGCTTGCTGCTCCATCACGGCCATTCTTTCGCGGTACCACGTGTACGCCTGCGACTCTGCTCGGCGACTGAGGAGGTTGGCCAGTAGACTGCGATCACGACGCTTTTGCTCCTGGTGGATGCGCTGGCGGGGCTGTGCTTTGCAGGCTCCGCTGGCTGACGGGCAGGCGGCGGAGGTGGTCCGCTCCTTGTCGTTGTCCAGCCATGGGCGGAAGAGAGACTTGGTCTGGCGACGCTTGATGCCAACTGGCTGTTCCTGGTGCATTAGGTTATCCGTGTGTGATTGCTGGACTGGGTCCGTCTCCCGCTTGCGCTTGTGGGCGGTAAACTTCTTGTGGGTGTAGCTGGAGGAGGTCGTCGTAGAGTTATCCATTTCGCTTGATGCTGCTGCTCGCTCGATGTTTTCTGGCTGAATGGTTGACTCTGTGTCCTTATATCCTCCTTTTATACACGAAACAGGTAAAAGGGATATGCGTTGCCATTTGATTTTGGGTCTGTCAACAAAGGGATTAGCGCATCTCTATTAGGTAATCCTCGATCTGTATGTGTGTGTGCGTGTGCGTGTGTGTGTGTGGATCGGGGAATATTTTGTATGACCTGTTCTCACTAATTGTCGCCTTGCCTTGCCTAATTATCCCTTTTTTTTAGGATTACCATCCATCCAACGATCAACCAAATGTTGCCACCGGAACAGGACAACCGTTATGCACACACACACATCCCAGAC